TGAACGCTCAAACATGGTTTCCTATTTAGGATGCAAATCATTCCCTTATTTGTTGAACTCTGGGATACCACAAGGGTCGAACTTTGGACCTTTAATTTTTAATATTTTTGTAAATGATATTGTAACTAGTGTGAGTGACTCAATGATGCTTTAGTATGCTGATGACGTGAACATTTATCGTAGTATCGACACGCCTGTATACTGTGAATTGTTACAATACAATACAATACAATACAAACTTTATTCTCACCACAGATACATGTGGTGAATGGGAGGCCGGAGAAAAAGCTGCAGAAATGCAGCTTGACGAGCTCCGGACCCCCCACTCAGCAGCTATGACGGAGCACAAAAACAAAAATGCGTTCAGAAATAAACAATGCAAATATAGTGCGCACATAAGGAATACATTCTTAAGTATTAAAATACAAATTGAGTATACTGCTGTTTGACATTTTCACTACATCTATATTTTGATCACAATATTCATTCAACAAAAAAGGTAAAGCATAACGTATTGTTTGTTTTCCATAATTGGTCCTGCATTTCGGAATTTTCCAAGGTTGGTGATGTCTAGACGGGTAATGATTCTCTGTTTCTTTTAATTCAGATAGTTGAAGAATTGTACTGGAACGGCCGTAAGTAGCATTTCTGTAAGCTATTGTTAAACGGTAGTTATAAATTTGCTGTATGTTAAGGATCCTATATAATTGAAACAATGATTCGGTGTGATGAATGTAAGAAACATCTGCTATTATTCGTATCACCTTTTTTTGTAATAAATGTATCATATTTAAATTTGAATCAGACGTATTTCCCCAGACGAGATTGCAATAACACAAATGGGAATAACATAATGAGTTATATAAAACCCTTTTTACGCTTTTCGGTAGAACATGTCTATGTTTGTTCATAATTCCTACAGATTTACCCAGTTTAGAGCAGAGCTTTCTTATATGGTTAGTCCAGAGCATATTATCACAAAAAATAACTCCAAGTGTTTTAACACTATTTACAAATTCAATGTGCAAGGATCCAAAGTTGAGAGGATTGTATAATCTATCGCTCGAACCACGTGGGCGAAATATTATTGCTTTTGTTTTTGAGACATTAATAGTTAAACAATTTACTTCAGCCCATGTTTTTAATTTTATAAGAAACGCATTTGCTTTATTTACAAGACCCTCCTCGGATGAATCTGAAAAAAAATACACTGGTGTCGTCTGCATAGATAATATATTTGCAACTTGAATCGAGTTTCACTATGTCATTTATATATAACAAAAAAAGAAGCGGCCCGAGGATACTTCCCTGGGGAACTCCTGATAATATATTTAAAGGTGTTGATCTCTGATTTTTAATTTGCACAAATTGGGAGCGATGTTGTAAATATGACTTAATTAGTGTGAGTGGAAGGTCGCGAATGCCATAAGAAAATAATTTATCTAGCAGGATTAAATGATTTATGCAATCAAATGCTTTGCTGAAATCTAAAAACAACCCAAGCGTCAAAATTTTGTCTTCGAAATTTCTAAGTATATGTTCTTTTTGAACTAATAAGGCTGTTTCTGTTGATCTATGTTTTCGGAATCCAAATTGACAGTCAGTAATGAGTGAGTGCTTATCACAGAAATTAATAATGCGGGAGTGAATAATCTTTTCTAACCCTTTTGAAAATTCTGGAAGAATGGATATAGGACGGTAATTTCCTAACTCATTTTTGTTTCCTGATTTGAATAAAGCTACAACTTTCGCGATTTGCATTTTTTTAGGAAAGATACCGGAAGATATTGCGAGGTTGTATATGTATGTTATATATGGGGCAATAATATCTGCTACATATTTTACAGGTTTAATTTGTAAATCATCCGCATCACGACTGCCACTGTTACTCAGACACATAATAGAGGAACACACCTCAGTCTCATATGTGGGGTACATAAAGAGCGATTCCGAGATAGGCTTACTATTTTCTGACGCTTCATGATAATAAGAGTTGGTCCCGATATTCACAAAATGGTTGTTAAATAGGTTTGCCAGGTTTGAGGCACTTAAGACCTCTCCATTATGTTTAAAATTTTCAAAACTTTCTGGCTTGTAAGACGAATTGAAAACACTATTTATACGTTTCCATAATATATCGGCCTTTTTTAGACACTCAGCATCAAACAGACTATAATAATGAATTCTTTTAGATTTTCTAATTTCCGCTGTTAGTTGGTTTCTGTATTCTTTGAAATTGACAAATGCCACTGCCTCACGTGTCACAAGAAATGTTTTATAAAGTTTATATTTTATACGCGTCTTCTTAAGGAGTGCAGTGGTCATCCAAGGCTTTCGTCCTTTTCGAGCAAGTTAAATAGTTTTATTTGGAAAACAAGAAAAATAAACCTGTTTAAATTTTTCCAAAAACGCGTTGTATGCACTATCCACGTCTTTTGAGTTCAGTACATCGTTCCGATCAGTGGCCAATAATTTCTGCCTAAATGCATCTAGTGTAAGCGGTGTAATGTTTTGGAAAGTCATAGAATTTGTGTCACGCTTATGTACCTCTCGTGTTGTGTCAGCTAGCATAAATATGGGCAGATGGTCGCTAATATCTGAGCTTATTACGCCAGCTTTGATCTTTTCCTTCTCATGGTTTGTAATAAAAAGATCAATTAATGTTGATGTAGAAAGTGTAGTGCGTGTGGGATGAGTAATTACATTAACAAAATTATTCGCCGTTAAGAGTGATAACAAGTCGGCCGCGTTGGGGCTAGTTTCTAACAAATTAATATTTAGATCGCCACCAATAAAAAGAACATATTTGCTTTCGTTTGCGTGACACAGCAGTTTATCTAGAAATGTCAAAAATCGTGCCACATTCCCGCTGGGCGGACGATATATAACAGCAAAAATATAAAAGTCCCGTTTTATACACAGTATTTCATAGTCATCCGTAACAGATGTGTATTCAGGAATATTTTCGAAATTATCACTCGCGACAAGCATAGCGACACCACCCCCCCGCCCGGAAACACGATTTTGATAAAAATGATTATACTGGGGGAGAATAAAAAAATCTGTTTCATCTCTTTACCACGTTTCCGTGAACATTATGACATCGAACGAGCATTTACATGACTCAAAAAGAAACATAAGGTCGTCTATCTTAGATCTAGCTGACCTAACATTCAGGTGAAAAAGTTTCAAGAGTTTACTTGTTTTATTTGTTTCGTTACAAATATCTTGCGGAAGAAACAGATCGTTGTCTGCCATTACCTAGCAGAAAAAAACAATAAAAAGGAAAACGCTTATTCTACAATTTTGGCTTAACAAATCTTGTCGAGATCACCGTCGTGTTCTATCGATACGATATCTGCGGTTTCAGATCTACGGGCCCAAATCTTGCTGTTTCGCACCCACACGTATTTCCATCCCGCGTCTCGCTTTTTTGCAGTGGCCTTTCCAAGTAGTTTCTTACAAAAAGATATTGATGCAATTCATTTGTGGCGCTGTGCGAACTCGCTCGTTTTAAACCCCACCAAATGTAAGCTTGTTTCTTTTTCCCGTAAGACAAATGTTGTTGTTCATCCTTACACATTAGACGGCTCTGAAATTTCAAGATCTTCTGTTGTGCGTGACCTTGGCATTTTGGTCGATTCACGCCTGAACTTTACCTTGCATGTCTCGAAGGTAATCAATGATTCCTTGCGCATCCTGGGTATAATTGCACACATTACTCGGGACTTCTGGAATTACACCTCTGTACGGGCCCTTTCTCTGGCTTTGGTTTTATCACGGTTGGAGTTTTGTTCTACGGTGTGAAATTCTTTGGGTGTCAGCCAGGCGCTCAGGTTGGAGTGCATACAGAGACGACTTGTGAAAGTTGTCAACGATCGCTACGTTGGACGGAGCGTTTTTTTGATTATGTGCTTCGTTTGGACACTCTTGGTCTTTCGCCTTTTTTAACTAGGCGACTAGTTTGCGACATGATGTTGTTAAATAAGTTGTTCAATTCCGTTTTTGATTCGCCAATATTATTCAGTAGAATCTCAATTCATGGCCCCTAGCGACAAGAAAGGGCTACTCTTTTTTTTACCCCTTTTATCTAGAGTACAGTGCTCCGCTGACACGGATGATGCTCATGTACAACACATTTTTTAACCCTCACGTGGACTTTCTATGCCTTTCAAAACGTTTAAGAATAGTATAGTAGTCAGGATTGCCGTGTAGTTTGTTTAGTTGAGTGCTGTTTTATTATGTCACGTGTTCAAGGCCCCTAAAGCTATTTAGGGAACAATAAAGCTCTGATTGATTGACTGATTGATTAATCTACTCCGCTGGGGCTCGAAACCGAAGTGAAGAAGTTGAAGTTTCTTTCCACGGGGCCGAACTCTTCTAGGGGTTGTACATAACGTTGTGACAATATTAGGCTAATTTTATATCTATAAATGATGATTGAGCTCTGCGTGAAAAATTGCACTAATGAAATCAAATCTCAAACTTTAAAACAAGTTCTGCGTTTTTTTTTGGTGACGCAGATCATGTGGTTTGTACATATACAATATCTGCATACAGGTCAGGGACAAACGACACTTTACCCCTCAAAATACCAGATAACAGTTTTAAATGCCAGAGGCTTTGTTCCAGCAGAACCGTGGTTAAAAGTGTCAGGTTGATAAAAGTAGAAATTCATTCAAACACTAAGCGCAGACTGAAAATATGTATTTGTAGAGAAAAAAGTCCTTGCTCATTCCTTATTGACATTTTAAACGTAGCAAAATAGCTTACAGTTTAGTACCGCAATTCTACTAAATCATTTTCAGTTATTTTGCATGGTTTTCTTAGCACAAATAAATGAGGAGTAGAAAATAATAAAAAAAAAAACGAAGTCAAGCTTTGATAGATATTAATTTTAGTATAATAAATAAGTACATACTTGTTTAGCCGAGTTTTCAGTGACTAGCCGTAGCTGTTCCCTTGCTTTCGTGCATGTGATTGGCGACGAAATACGATTGTTCAAAGAGAGTGTTACTTTATTGAAATTCAAAAGCTGAAGAAAACATTCATAGAGAGTTAAGACATAGAGCTCTGAAAAATGGCACATTGAGAGCATGGATTATGGGAGAGATATATTAGCGGCCTCGCCGACCAGCAGGTGCCCTTCAGGAGTGTTGTTGAAGCCAGACACCCAAAATGTGCAGTTCGACCCTTCTTGCGGAAGATCTAGAATAAGAAGCGGGTGTGCATAGTACACACTGGTTACTACTTCTTCTTTGCAATGCTGACCAATTTAGGCACTATTTTTATTTAGCCCATTAATTTCTTACGATATTTGAACTTATCTTAAGATTTACTGTAGCCGTTTTTGCTCATAATTAAATACTTTCTAAAATTTCAATGGTTTCGCTGAAGGAGCGATTCTGTGGGAATTCACTAATTCTAACATTGTTTTAGGACTTGCTTTTGCATAACCTGCAAAACCAAAACTTAATTCGATGTAGGTTTTCATATAAGTGTCTGCTCGGCTATATTGAAACTCTGACGAAGGTTTTTTCTTTTTGTTTAAGCTTTACCTTGAACAATTATTTGAAGGTCCTCAACAGTTGTGCTCAGCTTTTCACTGGATGGGCATTGCCAGGAAACGATGTAACCATTCAGCGGTCCGGCTGGCACGTGAGGATGCTCCCAGGCTACGACCACCCCGGTGCTGTTCTGACTCAAAACCTTTAAACCACCTGGCGCACCTGGGGCTAGAGAGAAAAAAAACACATTTTTGTTCAGCGAAACAACCCGTGTTTCAAAATTTATTGAGCAACACTGGCGTTCGCCACTGCATGGATACGTAGCGTGTGATTGGAACCGAGTCCTTGCCGAACGCTGACGTCGCACTTGTATTCCAAACGAGATGAGCCGAGTTTACGCCGTAGGCTGACGCAAACCCTCGTCACTAATACATGATCAAAGCACGTGATCATGCTATTACAGTGAGGCGATGGCGAGGATTTTTGAAAAAAACCTATTTCAGAAAAAATTAAAAAAATTGATCTTTTATTTTTACTTTGAAGAATTAGCCTTCAAGTAAAGTTCACTGGTGCGTTGACCGGCAAACTAGACCAGTCTACCTTGACGACGCTTTCGCGATGTCGAGTACTCCTCATATTTTTATATAATTGCGCCATAAAATGAGTTTTGAATATTCATCTTTAGTATTTAGTAATAAATGTTTCTTATATAGTAAATAATTCGATATACATACTCTATTGAATACTTAAACATAAAACAACCTATACATTGGACGTCAAAGTCAATTGGAGGCGGAGATCGGTTTACTTTGAATGTAACATCAATCAATGACAATAAATGTCTAGATAACGAATTTATAACTTTGGTGCCAGGACGCATTTTATAACATATATTGTTCTCAGTAAGAAGAAAATGCTCTTTGTGCTACTTTATTTTTAGATATAGTTTGATTGACGCCTGAGAATCATTACTTCCTGAGCCATTGTTTAGACTGACTGTATGTTTCGCCTAACGCGGCTGTTAAAAATAAAGTGCTTTTTATTCCCCTTGGGTGATAGATTGTTCTCGTCTTGTGGTGATCAGTAACCTATCTATTCTAACAAGCCTCTTCGTTTACCTTCATGCAGAACACCCAGACCTCAAACTTGCAATGTGTATAGTGCTTAAGAGGAGGTGGAACTTCTTGCTTATTCTCAGTGTCTGGGTCGTATTGATAAATTCTAATCGTATTCTGAGCTTTTGCCATTTTGTGGGATCCTGCCACGCTTGGCCATAACTGGCTATCTGCATGTTCCGCAGAAGGGTGAACGTAAATTGCATTTTAGAGTGTAGCTGCATTCAATCATCTAACAAGGTGTCTCTTCATTAGTCTGAACTAATAACAGGTCCTTAATGAAAGAACGAGTGGCATACAAAAACAGTAGGTATACACATTGTCAAATGCGACGAGCCATAGTTTTGTCTACCAGACCAAATATTTAATGATGTAAGTTCAGAATCCATATTGTGAATAATTACAACTAGACTCCCGTACGAATACTCAAAGATTGTGTATATATATTGCATTCTGGTAATCTGCTCTGAGCAATTCATGGAAGCCGTCACATATCCTTTTTGACAGAGTCTTGCACGGAGCGGTGTGTCAAAATGTGGCGTGCCCATTTGGGTTTTTTCAGACGGCACACTCTGAGATGCGAAAGAACGCGTAAAAAATCTGATTTTCAACATTAGCTGCCTAATAGATGAAGCAAAAGTCTATGTAATACTGAGAACTCATAATTAGTTACTGCACTCATTATGCTTTCTGGACATAATATTGGTTATTTTTTAATACCTGGCCAGGAGGTAGTGTTTTAGGGTAGGCTATTTCTTTACAGAAAGTGGAATAAAATGAAATGACGTTCATTTATGTTCTGGGGCAGTATTTATAAAAATAAACTATGAATTAAGCAAGATACGTTCTTGTCAGCAAGTATTTTATACAGCGTGCATGATTTTAATTCGGTCATATAAAAAAAAGAATTAGATTTACTGGAGTCCCGTCTTCACCATCCGTTTATCAGTCTGGGCGACCATTAAATGGGGGGATAATCGTCAGGGTATGTCGACTAAGTAGCTAAAATTGTTCATTAACTTTTTTAATTTTTGTTTTAGGGGTTATATTGAAAGTGTAGTAGGGATGAAATTGAGCAAGACTTACTGTTGGGCTAGTTGGTTCAGTGTACTGAGTAAACTTGTGCGCGCAAACACGAATGACGAACAAGGAGAGTGGACAAGGACAAGTGCGCTTGTCCTTGGTCATTCCCTTGTGTTTGTCCTTTGTTGGCGCATACAAGCTTACTCAGTCACGCCAATTACTATAGAAAGGTAAACAAATTAAGATAGTTTGGTTGGGAAGAAAGCGTTTTACACTGGGTGTTTGCTTTCACTTGGAACATATTTAAAAATGAGTGAGAGTTAGACAAGAGCCGTCTTCCCCATGTATATATTGGGCTCGGTGGACGTTAGACGAAGGGATAATCGTCAGGGATGTCGACTAATTAGCTAAAATGTGTTCATTAACATTTGATTACTAGTTTTATGGATCATGTGTCATTGCAGTGCAGATGGCAACTATCCTCGGAAGCGAGACCAATTTAGATAATTTGCGAACAGGCAATACGTCTCGAGATTTGATTTTAATTACCAGAGATACCTTCTTACAAGAAGAATTCATAAAGGGTGTTTGATTTCTAAATTAGAACATAGTTAAAAAAGACTGAGAGTCATACAAGTGCAGTGCCATATTCACCATGTATTTATCGAGCTAGGCGGACATTAGATGAGGCGAAAATCGTTAGGGTGTCGACTAATAAACTGACTTTTAAATCAACTTCTTAATAATTGGGTGTAGAGGTCCTGTCGCGATTGAAGTTCTGACGGCCATTACTATTGAAAGCTTGAGCGATTTAAATATTTTGCAATCAAAAGGTTTTCGAGATATTAATTGAGAAATTTGGGATTTGTTTAGACCGATTCAAATGTTAAAAACAGAAAGAACTCCGCCCTGCCCAAAACGACGCATGGAAGAGTAACGAGACGTAATCGTTTCAGTTACGTCGACATTTGTGTTTTCAGAGCGCTCATCGGGAACACGCTACTGAGAAAACAACGATATGAATGAAACGGCTACGTCCCCTTTCCAAGCGCCATTGCGGCAGGGCTTGCTGTGCTCTTTTAGCGCAGTTTTTAAATCGGACAATAAAAAAAAAACCCAGACATTTTTTTATTCATATATTAAAACCAATGCCTCTTCACAGTTACAAAAAATATGTCATATAATAGTAATTTCAGTCAATACTGCAACTCAAAATGACTTTTAAGACCAATAATTAAAGAAGCTAATTACCAACTTTGAGTTAATTAGCCAACACACAATGATGATTATTCTTCATATAATGTATGCCGAACGTGATACATACATGGTGAAAAAGTACTGGTGTTACTCTCACCCCCTTTTTAGAAAACATGTTTGCATTAAAATAAAATACCCTGTGTATCAGGCTTTCGAAAGAAGGGATTATCCGAAGAAAATCCGACCCTATATTTTCACTCTGAGGTTTTTGCCTTCTTGACGAAATTTCAGAACTGTGTCTGATAAATTTTCTTTTTTTTTTCTTATTATCTTGTCTTTAGTGTTGGATAGAAAATGCCTTTTTTGTTCTTCAGTTTCAACATAGAAAATACATATTTATACAGGCTGTGTTAAGCAAAAACAAGTTTTTATTTTCAATTTCTTATCAATAAATTGTTTTCTCTAGGAATAAGTAAAATGCTGGCAGCCTAAGAAACGCGGACATTCTCCCGTCCATGGATAGCTTCATTTGGCCAGCAGCATATACTGAAGACGAAAATTCTTCAGAAATAGAAACCTACATAACGTAGCGGATAAAGGCATATCTGCTATGCGACACTTGTTTGGTTAAAAAACATTGTAATATTGTCAGTATATAAATGACTGTATACTTATCCTTACATTTTTTATATTTATATGCTGATTGGTATGTTAGTTTTTACACAACACTTAATTGTTGCAAATTGTTTTCAAGTATGATCGTTGATATTTGCTAAACCATTTCACTTTACGGACACTTCAAGCAGCAGCGACAGCAACTATGTTCGTTATTAATAGATTCATTTTGTTTCCAAATTAATTTTTATATTTAGTGAGCTGATCCTGAAATCTTACCAATAGGCTCGAATTTCTTAGCTTACATGACGCGCGAAAATAAAATATCCAGAGCTATTATCTAATTGTTCTTATGACAAGCAAAGCCAGTTAGATTACATTGTAAAAAGTTTCATGCATCACATGAACATAAAAATAAATAAAGGGCCCGTATTTGTAGCTTGTTTAAATATATTGAATCTCTTATTTCCTCAGTTATACATCACATTGAGATAACAAGCAATCCAAACGGTTTGATATCCAAAGGGTGGCGATGTGGGTTACTTGGTTCATACTGACGAAAAGGCAAACAGCGCGGAGTAAACGGGGACTAAAGGAAGTGCAAACAGGCAGCGCTTGTCCTGTTTGCACTTCCTTTAGTCCCCGTTTACTGTGCGCTGTTTGCCTTTTCGTCTATATCCAAAGGTTTTCTTACATGCAGGGAAGGCAAAGTGCACTGCTGCTAAAACGCTGAAGTGGCAAGAGACACATATACAAGTCTACATCATACAAAGTAGAAATTTGAGATCGGAATGCTGGAGGCGGTTTAGCTAATGTCAGAAAGCAACATAAAATAATTTTGACGGAATCAAGTTTGTTTATCGACATCAAGCCAAAGTCTATCAAGTACCCGTACCAGAGAAAGACGCAGCATTACAAACGCCCCCAGACACCGACCAGGTTGCCATAGCTTACAATGACGTAGAGATAATGCTTATATAAATTTGCTATCATTGACTTAGTTTAAGGCTCAAAGTACCTCAACCATAATAACGCGATAATCAGGTTTTAAAGTGTTTTTTTTTTGTGGGTGACGAATGCACAAGACTGTACCCACAGAATGCATAATTTTTAATTCGAACAATTCTAAAAATATTGAGTGGTAGTTAGACGAGTTTTCTCTTCACCAGGTATTTATCAGGCTTGGCGGAAAATAGATAAGAGAATAATCAGCATGCTAAGTTCACTAATTAACTTTTTAATTATTAGTTTTAGGGGTCATGTTGCAATTGCTGTACTGACGGCCATTACTATTAGAAGACAGATAAATTTAAAGCATTTAAGAAAAGGCAATTATATTGAAATATTAAGCATTACATTTTCACGTTTTCTTTTTGCTCGACTAAAAATATTGTGCGCTAAAGGAGCGCACTAAGCCCTGCCCAGAATGACGTTTGGAAGAGTAACGTAGTCGTTTAGGTAATCTCGTCACTTGTGTCATCGGCACACTTATTAAGGACACGTACTGTGCTGAGAGTGACTACATGATATAATTGACAACGCGGCTCTTCCATGCGTCACTGGGAGCAAAGATTGCGACGCTCTTTTAGAGCGGAATTCCTAAATATGTCGGAAAACGCAAAAATTGATCGAATTCTTTAAACTGGTATGGCCTCTAATATTATTTGCCGTCAATAATGCATCTACAACATGACCCCTAAAACCAATACAGTAAAACCTCGTTAATTCGGATCTCATGGGACCGGCAAAACTGTCCGAATTATCCGAAAGTCGAAATATCGCAAGGACAAAGAAAGCTGCGTGAAAACGTTGCCCTGTGACATACCTTTATTTTGAGAAGAAATCTGTTATTACCGCCTGCTTTCTGGACGACACTTGGGCGAAGACGGCAACTTTCCTTAGCGCGGTCGAGTGCTCCACCGCACTCGCACTGTCGGAGCTACGCATCCCGTGCGCTGACAATGTAGCACAGCAAGGCCTCTTCTAGTTTCGGGTGCACCACCTTCCAAGGCCGCTTTCTTTTCGCGTTGAACTTCTCGCTCTCGAAAGCCCGTAGGATATCGGCCACAATTTTTACGTACGCGGCCAAAGTGCTTCTCTTGACGTCGTAACTTTCCATCACTTGTCAAAAGACGCCGCCCTCCAAGGCCCTCAGTATTTCCACTTCCGTCGCTAACTTCTTAGCCTAGTACAGCTGCAACGGAAAACGAGTAGCACAACTGACCAGTAATCGGAGCGGCGAAATCGCGACACCCGGCGCTATTTTTCCCGAGCGCCGATAGCGAGAGTGCCAGTCACGTTGCATTTTTCAATGCGGGGTGGCCGACGAAAAATTGAGGGAAAGGATAGTTGTTAAAATGGCGGGCTTTAGGATCCCCGCGTTGAGACATAAAACGTGGCTGTCACTCTCGCTCTTGGCACGCTCGGGAACAATAGCCCCGCGTGTCGCGATTTTGCCATTCCGGTCGTCGGTCACTTGTGATACCCTTTTTCCGTTGCAGCAATGCTTCTGCTGCTTCCTTGCCAGGAGAGTAACGCGCTGAAGCACAGCGATCCAGAGCAAAACTGGTGCAAAACACGGAGAACCGAAAGAGCGAAAAACCATGGGAAAACCGGAAAAATCACGTGCGCACTTCGGATGGGTAGCGGTTATACCTTTTGGAACAGACGGTAGCTAGCGCCACCTGCCGAATTCGTCCGAATTTACGATAGTGCGCCGCGTTCACTCTGAATTAATGAGCGTTCGCTGCCATTGACTAATACATACGTTTGACGGGACCGAATCGGCAGTTCAAATTATCCAACTTTCCGAATTAGCGGGGGTTGAATTAACGAGGTTTTACTGTACTAGTCAAAAAGTTAATTAAACGATTTTAGTTAAATATTCAATTTGCCGTGACGATTATCCACTCATCAAATATCCATCGAACCTGATAAAAACATGGTGAAGACAGGCGTCGTCTAACTCTCGCCCTTATAAAAAATATGTTTGAATCAAAACTAGTCATTTTATTATTCAAGCTGTAATCCTCTGCATATTGAGCAATAAAATTCATTGCGCCTATTCTCCACTTATATTCAAATCAACACTAAAAATGCCCATAGGTGTACGTAATGGGAGCACGCATACGGCATTCAACTGTCTTAAGTATAAGACAGCATCAGCCTAGTCACAAACTATCTAAATCGCCTCGCAACGCGGGTGAATGTGATTCGTTGATTTTCCGCCTTCTTCGTTGAGCCAAGTAGGGCCAGAAGTCGGGTGGATTATCAGTAATTCACAAGCAAGTTGATATAGCATGTATGGAGCAGAGGGAATATATGTACCTTATTAGTGTTGATAATTACAAAATGAAGCTGGTCAAGAAAGGTAGACACTCAACAATGCCCGAAAAGGTGTTACCTGCCATGCCAGTCTTAATATGCACAGTTGAGTTGCCTCCACAGCCACCCTTGCTGCAACCTCTTAACGAGACACTGTAGTTTGTGTAGGGCACAAGGCTCTTGAGCGAAAGGAACCCAGTCTTGAACTCAGGCGTCCACCCATATATGACAGCCATATCGCATCCAACGTCGTCCGTGCAGTCTGTCCAAGCATTTTCGTTTGTCGATACCTGTAAACCACAGCAAGAAAAGCTTGTGAAGTATTTCGTTACACATAACACACCTCCTTATTGAGAGCAAAGCAAAACAGAATAAAAATGTATCCCAGACCATCGCTATTTTTGTGCTGGCACGGTACTAGTTCATTTTATTAGGCAGCACCGGCAAAACAAATCGGAAGTGTACGAAGGTTACGAAACCGTTCTAAGATGAAAATAATTGCGCGTTTTTTATTACCCAAATGAAAGTTTCAATAAAAAAGAGTAAAGGGTCAATACAGGGCGCGCTCTAGGTGAAAAGGGTAATCTTTTTGCAACGTTATATATATATAAGGTAATTTCTTCGAAAAGTGTTTCTTTCTGCAAGACTTGTGACAGTCAAATGAGTTCAAGTAAACATTTATTGAGACAACCGACGAGTAGTAAAGTAAACTAAGGAGCTGTCAAAAAAAAAAAAAAATGCAATGACGCGACTTACGAAAGCGACCTCCCCTCCTTACGGTCGCACCATTCAGCAAGCCCAGGCACATGAACAAGAAAGAAAAGGAACTTACATGGCCGGCAAAACCAAGCTTAAGAATTGCTCATCAGTAAAAAGACCAAATAAAAAGACATATTACACGGAAACAATCACTGAGTCTACAAAGAAATGCCACATGAAAGACATGCCGCCGGCGCACAATAAACCCACCGGTCACTCTTGAAACGACAAAAAAAAAAAAAGGCAGTTTTTTTTTTTTTTATCGCTCAAACCGTCGTATGCAGAATTTCTGTTTATGAGGAACACACTTAACGCTAACTCCAACCTCAGCCTTCCAGTCACGCGACGCCATGTCACAAAGCCACGCCTTCCTTTTGTACCGTCACTTATTTTTTTTTAATTTCTTTCCAAAGCTTTTGCAGCTGGCGACAGCTTTTCAACGCGTCCCGGAGATTTTTCCTGCCTCTGTTTTTTTTTTTCCTTTGTTATCTTATGCACAGTTGCGTTGTGTGGCCCGCAAAGCTCGCGGCGCAGGTGTTTGTCAAAAGTCCAAATGCTGGCTCTAAACTTGTTCTAAAAAATCGGCGCCTGCACGTAAGAAGGTCGAATTTTCCCAGACGTGTATTTCAGGGGTGCATCTTACCTTAAGAAATTCTAAGATATAGCTTATTATCTGCGAAAAATGAGACCAACAAACTTGCCAGAGTCAACGACTGTCGTCAACACAGACAGCAAATTTAACAATAGTTATAATTTGTGGCAGCAGAGCCGGATAGGCGTAAAAAGCAGATGACGAACCTGGTTGTCTGCCCGCTGCGACAATGTGTGTACAGCAGATGTCATTATGCGGCCGATTTATGCAACCTTTCAAACTGACGGGCAGCTTTCGAGGCCACACTGTAGATCCTCTGGTATTTTAAAGCAGAGTGTCGAACCGATATTTTTATCGGTTCGGTTCGGGTTCGGGTTCACGGCTTTCGGTTCAGTTCCGGTTCAGTTCCGGGGCGCAAAAATAACGGTTCAAACCGGTTCGAACCGGTTCGAACCGGTTTGAACCGCTAAATTAAGAATATATTTTCTGCGTTGTTTTGTCAATAGGCACTATTTAGGCCATGAAACTAACTGCTGTAAACAATCTGATTTTTGCGAGGACCTATTTTTGAGAATTTCGCGAATCGCCTACAATTCGCGAAAAATGGGTCCCGCGAACAATTTCGGTAAAATGTAAACAGATTGAAATTTATAGTGAGATTCCACCGCGTCGAGAAAATTACAACCTACGAATTATTCCAAAACTTCAGCTTTGACCTAAATCGCGAAATATTGAGCCCACGAAAAATAAGTCGTTTACAGTATATACTTTTCTTTTTTGTATCGTTTGTTCAATCCAGTTTTATTTTCAGGTACAAAAATTATAAAATTCTGTTATTTATACCTACACAACAAGAAAGGAAAATCTCCATTAACATACCAAACGTCGTGTTTATACGACTCAACCTCCCTTCGTTTACCAGAGTCACATACATTGTACCTGAATCGAAATGTTTTCGCGAAGTGAAGTAGGTTGCCTAAAATACCCGTGACAGGTACAACTTTGTATCGCAGTATTAGATGTTGAATCGTGGTTTTGCGCTTGAACTAAGAAATTAATTACAGTGAATAAAATCATGAAATGGGCACCTCGTCGCCATATATACCATAAAATGTGTTTTAGGAATACGTTTCACAATATATATATGACGACGAGACGACTGATCTTAAGGCAATATAATTTTAAAAATGTCACGAAAGTCACGGGACAAGTCCTTTCACTCTTTATTTTATAAAAACACTAAGCGACAATCGCAATGCTTGTTTTTTCTAACTAGCATTGTTTGCTCTCAGCACCATGATGCGGGCGACGAATCATGCGAAAAGGAGTGGCTGAAATTGTTCACTCTAACCTATGAGCACCTTCGTACTGAGATCGAATCTGACCTAAAACAGTGCTTACCCATGTGAACATTTTCTATATTGGATAAACTGGCATAGCCTGGTTCTGAGGTTTGCTCTTGACAAAATGCCGGTCAATTTAATTTGCAAATAAGCATCACCCTCTCTAATTGATGATTTTTGTCAAATAGAACAAAGTGGGATTTCATGCTCTACTCAATTCGGAAGCTACTTAATTGGACACTTTCTGAGAATTTAAGTGTGCAATCGCCATAGTTCCACCATTCGTTCCAGTAAAAAAAGGCGATAATAAAAACGCATAAAAAACGCAATAATAAACTTCTATATATTTGAGAAGTTATATATGCGTGAGGAACACATACAGTTATTTAAATTAGCTTCAGAATAAAAAAAAACAACAACATTATTTAAAGCTTTTCCAAATCACCTATAACGTGTCTATAGGGGATAAAAGCGCCGAAAAAGATTTGCAGAACATCTTTCAGATAATTTAAAGGTGCATTTACTTATATATCTTTGAGGTGAGGATCTTCTATTTATGCTGCCAAATCTTCAGACAGGAATTAAGTATATTTGTATTATCATCGATAAATTTGACTTTATGAAGTTCACATAACCGCCTGAGACCGACACGGAAGGACGATACTCGAAAATACGCCAGCTGTTGAGTCTTCGGCAACGTGCTTTTGTTAGCTGTTTTGCAGTGTAAAATACTGGGTTGCAGGGTATGCCACAAAACACTGTGGTCCATGATATATCGCAAGGCAAATACACGAAATGTGCAGAAATAAGGAGATGACACGCAATTTTTTCTAAATAATCCCTTACACAACGCTTTACTGCAAAAAGAGATGCATAGAAATGCATAAAATCATATTCCTAATTAAACATAGATTCCTCGCAGGGCAAATGAAGATTTTTAGAATCCTAATATAAGTCACTTTTGGGCATCAGCTTGCCTCAGCTCGAAACGTCGCGAGATACTACTAATGTTATCTTAGGTTTTACGTGCACTTGTTTTGGGACCTTACTTCACGACTGTTCTTTATCAGTCATGTGCTGCAACATTTCATTAGGCTGCCGTATATCATCGCGAGACTGCTATAAATACTACACAACTTTACACCTTGGACGTCTCTTGCTAGTGTTGCGAACGTCGCACTTCACCAGAAAGCTGAAGTATTTAACATGGTTTGCACGTGACGTAATCGCACTAGATACTGGTTGTCATTGCGAGTTGTACTTGCTGAGAATATCAAATCCGATGGGGCAAAATGCACGCTGAAAAATTTTCGCGCTCAGTGCAAGCTATGTATTTGAGAGGCACACATTTTTCTTGTTGGTGCATCGTCATTAGACACGGCGCGAGTATCTGGCGCGGCGAAAACGTTCTTTCTGGCAAGAGTGTTTTTACAAATAAAAGTTGTACCAACTACCCATCTGTCACTATCGTTTCCAGGCCACGCTTTCTAGTCTGCGCCGAAAGTGCGGGGTAGAGGAATCTTTACGACACAGTATGCTTTAAAACTACCCCCCTACCCACTCCCTTCTTTTTTAGTTGCTCCTCAAGATACTTTTTATTCCTCAGGGATTGCCTGCTCCGTATTGAGTGGTGTTCACTCGACAATTATATTTGTGTCACTCGTTAACAGTAATTCTTCCTTGCTTTTACTTTGCACCAAACTGTGAAGGTTAAACAAAATACAGGGCGGTCGAAACTTGGAGAACTTGAGAACGACACTCCTGTGAGACTTAGAGCGGCTGCCAACGTTTGGCTATCCCCGTGAGACCACTAGGATCTTTCTTTTCAGGTATCCCTCACGTACACACTAATAGTTCCATGTAACGTCGGACTAATACGTCACATTTAGACCCTTTAACACTTCTATTCTCGGTACAACTTTCTGAGGCAGTTCAGCAATAACGAAAACATGTTTGGGAGCCTCAATGGTGTGCATACATGTAAAATGGGCCGTGCAGCATTTTTTTTACCTTCAGTTCAATAAATACCGCTAAGTTGTAATCCCTGACGTTGATAACTTGCAAAAGCATCCATTAGTTTGTTCCTCCGAGAAATGGGAGACAGTCGAAAGAAAGAAATGAAACAGCTTTCCCCTCCTCAACTCGCAATTAGAACTATCAGCCACGTGATCTGATCCTAATATATGCCTAATATATGCAGCGTCAGTGTTTATCACAGTCATAAGCAGGGTTGGCAAAGCGAAGCATGGGCTAATCTTCAGATATAGTTTTAGTTGGGCTATAACGAGCCCCACTAAAGCGACAAACAGAAACAAACGACAGCGGCTAGCCTTAAACCAGAGTATTTCGCGATTTGACAGGCTTTGTAGAATAAAGAAGGCTATGCTCAAACACGAGTGTCATGCACACGATGGTACCATTTGCAGGCTTGTAAACACTCGTGCTAACTTCGCGAGCACCGAACAACTCAAAGCCGTATAAAGGTACCATCGCGAACATGCTGCATCTGTCTGAGGCTTGTCGCTTTTGTTTGCTTCTGCTTCTAGCTCTAGTGAGACTCGGGCCCATCATAATCTTTGAGTTGAACACGAGCCGTTACCCGAATGTTTGGCGATACTGGTTGTCATGAACCAGAGCATTTGACTCGGGACCATGACAATCGGGTACATCATGGTGTCACGGGACTCTCAGTGCGAAGTTGTGATGTCATGTGACGTCACGGTATCAACAACGTTAATAGATCTAGCGACGTCCTCAATTTGAATCGACTTTACGCGGTGAGTCACGTGACGTCACGGGGTCACGTGATGTGACATTACTTGACAGCATGTCTTGACATTATGACGTCACGTGACGATGTGACACATGGCTATTCATAGTGCCAATAAGAAAGCGCCGCAAAAAAACAGGATTTATTATACATTGGAATTCTGTATATGACGAGTTGATCAATACTTAGAGGAATTCCCGTGCCAATTTTTTATTCCCAAATAATAAATTTGTAATACTAACAAAAAAAAATTACCGTGAACCGTTTTGAACCGGTTACCGTTATATTTTTTCCGGTTCCGTTCCGGTTCAGTTCCAAGATGGCGGCGAAGATTTCGGTTCGGTTCAGTTCCGGTTCGGCTAAAAATAACGGTTCTGTTCCGGTTTTCGGTTCGGTTCGGTTCCGGTTCGACACCCTGGTTTAAAGTCGGTTTTATCTTAATCACAAATGACAGAAGATATAGTAAACTAAACCTACGCTCGAGCTCAATTCTGGTAAGAAGATTTTAATCGTTTCATTAAATACTCCCACGACATCAATCATATAGAATGCACACAAAACGCTTGCACGTTTTATTTACATCACGTTGTGTAGAAATTTATACATTCTTGGAAAAACGCCTTGAGAGTCATAAAGAGGGCAGTTTGCAGACTCCTGTGTAGTTCAAAAGTATATTCTTTTTTAGGGGGGGGGGGGGGCAAGGTATTAAACCTTTCAATTCAATTGCACACTCAAGGTTATGTCTTTTGCAAGAAACCAGTCCAGTGCATTATCTAGAAGGTTCATTCAAGGTTAACCGAGACTTTTATTACCACGGAGAAACTAAATTCCAGCAAAAAGGAAACTAGATAAAATATTCAAAGTCCCCATGCACGTTTGGACAACAATGCTATACTTTTGTCAGTTTGCTGATTTTTTTCTGGTTTAGAGAGACCTGGCTTGCCTGATAGCAGTCGCACGAACATATGCGAGTGGTTGAATTATTTCTTGCTGTCATCCTTTGCCAAACTGTTAACACGTCATTCTGAGACTGCCATACATAACATCGTTTGTGATTACAATCTTCTCCAAATTTTAGGCAGAGTAACTTTATCCTTCACATACAATTTGACTATGCACCGCTGTTGCGCAGCTACAGACAGATTGATCGCCGCCATGGTATCTGAAACTGATGCTCAGGCGTCAGATACGCCACTTCGGATGCGACATAGCCAAGGATTACGTTTATTTCCTGTAGAAGTTTAATTAGGTTAAACTTGTTGAGCAATTTCCCATCGACACAAGTCCAGGCCAACGTTGAAGGACCCTCGTATTTAATTGTGAACTAAATACTGATGGAGTAATTTTTTCTTTACATTGATCAGTGTAAAAATGAAAAACTTAATTTTGATGTTCAGGCTCGGTGTAACTCATATAAAATAATGTTCTTACATAAATTTGTGATATTACTTTAGTGCACTAACACGTACCTGAAGGTAGTCGACAGTGCTGTTGATGAATGTCCAAAAGAGTACAAGCCAATTTGATCTCACTGTCGGGGCACGAACCTTCAATCCGGGCTGAAGTGGAACTGAAATTCATCAAAATTTGTCAAAATTTTCTTATATGGCTGATTTCTAAAGAATAAATTTGCGCCTTGGGTAACTTAATAGTCCCAGACAAGCGCGTAATCAGATGGTAAGGGCTTATTTTATTTGTAATCTTGATAGCATCGCAACAAACCAATCGTTCGATGAATAGCGCAGTGCCAGATAATTCTACTATATGTGCTACTATACGTAGGCACTTTATAGTGTGCATAGCCGTAAAATAGGCCTTTAACTTCCCTCTAACTTCTCATTCAAACTTACAAAATGTCATTCTCAAGTTTTAAAATGCAACCCCAAGAGCGTTTTTCTACATGAGTACTGTCAGACTTCAAGCTTATTTGCGTGTTGTTTTGAATCAGATCGGCTCTACATACGTTAAAGATTATCGCTAAGACGAGAATTGGCGTCTCAAAAATTCTTTGTTATGAAACTCTTCAGTTAAAATTACTGCTGTATTCTTACTATTATCTAGTAATTATTGAGCAAACCATAGTCTAGAATAGTCTGCTTCTTTAAGGTGGCGAATATGGAAGTTAGTTTTTAGTTTTCATAAACAACCGAAACAAAATATACATAAACACTTGAAAAAAGGCACAAATATTGACATAATATTTATTGACAGAAATAAAAATGTTTTAATTTCGTAAGACTGAAAACTTAAGTTTCGCCTAATTTAAATTTCTCATCATGGAAACCGTTTGTATTAGAGTTCGAGTTATATTTGCAAAATACAAGAGGATTGGTTTCTGAGTTGTTACGATTCATCACACAATTGCGACACCTCTTGCATAAATATATTATCTGCAACTACTTTATTTTTTGCCGTTTTAGATGATGATAAGCATCATCTGGTTATATATATATATATATAAAAACACGTTAACAGCTGTTCCTTTTGCCACTTTTTTCTACTGCATTTACGACCTTTATTGTTTCGTCGGCTATTAAATTACATTAAAATAAATAAAAAGCTGACAACAACGAGCAGAATCGTTATATATTGGCGCCGTCAAGTGATGCTGGCAATGGTAGTAAGTTGTGTAATTAGCGCAACACGCATTATATGTTTAACCTTCCTTTAATTACCAAATTTTCTGGAATGTGGAATCAGTCAAGACATATGTGCGTAGTCTTTGAAGGATAACCCAGGAGGATTATTAACTGCGCAACAATTATGCTCACCTTCTGTCCACGTAGAAACTTTCGCCTTGGCAGGGGGTCCCAGCTCGACGCGGCCATCGATGCGTTCTATTCGGGCGCGTACTTCAATGTCAAAAACCGTGTCAGAGCTGAGGTTGATTGCATTGATGCTGTTGGTATGTGTGTAGTTTTCCCGGCAGAATGATGCTGATGAGCAATATCGAACCAGGAAACCATCACAATAGCTGGTGTTCTGATAAGCGAAGGTCCACGTTATTTCGAAGGAGCTCGTGCTGTTTGAAGCCACTCCAGTAATCACAGGTTCTGGAATGACTGTAAAATATAATTTAAAGGATGTAAATTACCACAAAACGAATGTTTTTGACCGATGAAGATTATTATTGTTTTCATGACTTTATCCAACAATATAAGAACGCAGAATGTGTTTATTGACTGGATACAAAAGCGTTACGCTCGAATGTGCGGAAAAGCGTTACATGTAGGCCAGGGCAACATAAATAATGTGCAGCTTATTACAGGCATATAGAAGCATTCAGAAGGTACACCTCGCCATACTTAATTATTCGGTATTATAATTAGGCTTAAGTATTGGTTACAAGCAACATGAACCATACGGCTCGGCGGGAATTGTACCAGAGATCGTGGGATCCGCAGTCCAACACCTTCTCTCGGCGCCTCAAGAAGGAGGAAAAGTGCGCGCAAGCAGCTTGATTAAGTATACCGTACGAAAATGTCAGATCGAAACTGGAATGGAAAATGCGAGATCCGACCCGGATCCAAAATTGTGGCAGGAACAAATGTCAGGCCGGACATGAACCGGATCCGGTCTGGCATTTGTTCCTGCCCCAATTTTGGATCCGGGTCGCATCTCGCTTTCATTCCCGACCGGCCTGCTTCCACGCCTCCGGGTCGAATCAGGCCCTTGACTCCGGCGATGGCTTAGGGCTGCGGTTCACCGATCAAGGTACTCCCACTAGCTTCACGCCACCGGCTTCCCACTTGAGATCCCGGGTGGCAGCCGGATTCGTTCGGCGTACGGCGCCGCGCGGCATCGAACGATCGGCACCGGAGGGAACTAGACGTTGCCAGAGTATCACATTCGAAATCGTCTGCTGTGACTTTGATATTTTGGCTTTGATCGGCCATGTCGGTGCCAAAACAGATAAGGTGGAAGGGGTTCCAGGGTAATAAAAATTTATTTGCACATCTGCGCGAGTTTTTACAATGTTACAAGGCCATACGTGATGTATGCTCTGCACAAAACGAAAATTACACGACGCAATGATCACTTGGGCCGTCGCAGCCGGCAAGTGGGACACAGAGTGCCCGTATTACAACATCTCCAAGAACAGGCAGGTTAGGTGCACATGGCCGTTAAGCACCGTCAGGTACTGGTACGACCAGCGCCACAGGGGGAGCAGCGCACACTAAAAAGAAGGGATCAGCTCGCGTCGCAGACGCCATAAAAGTGCCCACATCACACGTTGGCAACGCTGCCGCACTTTCGAGGAGCAACGGTTGCGATTCCAAGGAACGCAAAATCCCCTCGGAGCCGATGACCGACTGATATAAGGACGCACACCAGCGTCAGGGAAGGCATGCGCCACAAGGCGCCAGAAAATCTGCTTCACCGCGCACTGCGCCACCACGTGGACGTTCGCCTTACTGATCTGCAGTCGGGACACTTTACATCATTGACCGCACCCCAGCGGTAAAGGCGGTCCTTGGTTGGTAAGACACCCCAAGCTTTCTTCCACTGGAAGTCACACACTTCTCCATGCAGGTTACCGTGGGGGAAGGGTAGTCCCGTGTACGACGGCTCAAGTCCCGGCAATGGCGCCGGAAACTGGAACGAGTAGAGGATCTCAACAAGACAAGATGCCGGAGCATTAACGTTTTGTTTTAATACATGGGCGCGGAGCTGCAGGAAACTCTCAACAGAAGCACTGTAGAAAGGGGGAACCGTGTCCACACGGGCTCCAATGAGGGGCGGTTGCGAGGGTTCCAGGTCACTATACAATGTCCCGAGAAAATAAATGACCATCGGACGGGCTGGGTTTTCTGCGTCCTCCAGGATAGTCAAGAGGGTCTTGAGAGCTAGGGCGAAAGCTATCAATTGAATACAAGAAAAGCTCCTGCCACCGCGCTCGCGAGGGAGGCTGAGCACGGAGCGGGCCACCAGGGCCGTTTTGCCTGCCCAAAAAAGGACACGAGAGAAGTGCGCGCCTGGCAATCAAACGAAGAGGGCGGTGAAGCCACGCGCGCGGCATACCAGAGTTGACCGCAAATCACGGACGGTGTCAAGTAACAACGTACGGCCATTGGGAAAGCATATTTCCTGGCCTCTTCTACGCGCGAGTTCAGGTCACGCGCAAGCGTAGATCACGTGTCGCGTGCCACACCTTGTCCATCAAAGGTCACTCCCAAGATTTTGACAGTTGCGCCAGGAAGCGGCAAGGGATTGTGCGGGGGATTGCCAATGTAAACAATCTTGAACTTGGTGGAGTTTAGGTTTACGCCGGACAAAGCCGCGTAGGTCGCAAAAACCTGAAGTGGCTCCAGAACTCTGTCGCCATCACGGGCGAAGAGCGTCACATCGTCAGCATACGCGGTCGCGTTGATCTGACCCGTTCCCGGCAGGTGTAGGCCACAAACACACAGGTCCCCGAAGGAAAGTTTATAGGCTGAGCACAAACAGAAGGAGGGAGGGAGATAGGACACCCCTCGCGAACGCCCGCGTGACCTGGATACGTGCTGCCGGAACCTGAAGGAGCACTCGACGGTCCGCTCGAAGATGCTGCCCCTGCATTGAGCATAAACCCCGCCACCTACTTTTAAGATAGACCCAAGTGGCAGGAGTAGGGCACATTACAACAAAAGACTGTTTTATTAGGTTGGACAGCGTCCTCTTGGCTGATTCGTCACGCAAAACTCGAACGTCCAGACGCCAAGGACGCATGCCGCTTGCTTTGGGTAAAGAAAGAGCGACGATGATGGGACTACAAGCCAACACGCGAACCGGGGTCGGCGGAAAACCCTCCACGGTGCAGGACGTCACCGCCGTTGTCAACCGACGTGGCACGTAAACGCGATACAAGCGGCAGCTGGTCCTGCCGTCGCTCCTTGTAGATTGAAAAGTGGCTCCGTGAAGGAAAGACGACGCACCCTCAAATTCTAAATGGCACACCAATCTCTACAGTTCGCGTGCATATCAAACTGACCGTCCTATTTCCGGGACCCGGATGCTCGTCATCGTGTCAAAGACCAAATTAAAATTCCCCACGATGAAGCAAGGACACGCGTAGAGTAGATGGACATGGAGGTTGTTAAAAAAAGAATGCGACAAAGCGTGGTTCGCGGAATCGTAAACCTTAAAAAGCCTGTACTTAATGCCCTGAACAACCGAATCAAAGCGGATCACTTGACTCTCCGTGTCGAACAAATAGGAGCCATGACGCAGTAGTTCATGGTTAAAACTACATTACCTACGGTACGCCGCACAAACGCTGTGATGCGAAAGAAAAAAAGTCGCGAGAAAAAAGCAGCCACAAATTCTGCTACATCACGGCGGTTGGAAAAATTTGTTCCCTGGAGGCAGAGGATATCGCCAGCTGCTTGCTTGGCGAAGTGCAATATCTCCGTTTGCTTCGCCGGGTCGCCAAAGCCACAAATGTTAAAGGAAATAATTTAAAAAAACTAGCCAGAAAAAAAAAAAAAACTATCTAAGCGTACTAATATATGACACACCCATAAGCAGGCGCCAACTAAAACAATCTATTCATTAATGAAACAATGATAGACTTTGACGAGAAACGTTTTCATAAAAAAAGTAATGCAGAATGAATGACTATCCATGCAGTGTGTTCACGTCGTACTGGAATTACCGCAGTGGACTTTGATAATGCCGGAACGCTTAGATTGGGTCTGGACGGGTGTAGCCCGAAACAACCCATTCCCGTTTGAACCCGTCCCGTTTCGACCCATTCCCGAAACGACCTTTCTGTCTGAACCCGTCCCGTTTCGACCCATTCCCGAAACGACCTTCTCGTCTCAACCCGTTCCCGAAAAGCCCTTTATATTTGAACCCGTAGCCAAGACATATTTTACGTTTGAATCCGTCCCGTTTGAACCCATTGGCATAAAGCCCCGCACATCTCAACCTCTTCGCGAAAAGTGTCCATCGTTCTAATCCTGGTTTGCGCAGTTTTTCTGCTTAAAGGGGCGATGCAACGATTTTCGTATTTTGCGCTAATACCGCTTAGAACGGATCCCTGGCGCTAATGACCTGTGAAACACCCGTTATTTTTACACCACGCGCAATTGAAGTCGCAGAAAAATATTAAAGGAAACGAGCAGAGTTAACCCCGTCAACTCGCAGCCAGAACAAGCGGCCACGTGATCTGGAGCCGATTATATGCCGCCAATGTTGATCATAGCCAGGAGCTGGGGTCGGCAAGGCACAGGACACGCGCTGAGCTGCAGTCATTGTTATGGTTCGGCTACTGTCGTCATTGCAGCGATGGGACACAGGACACTACCCGAATGCTTCTCGAGCTATCGATTATCACGAGCCAAGTCGAGTGCCCACGCAATGCTCGGATCCAATCTATGAACCGCATTCAACTATCGTCACTGGGAGGTACTGCGACCACCCACCTATCTCATCAAGTTTTACGAAGGAGAGATTGAATGAAAACACTCGCTTTTGTCCTTGAAATTACAGCGCAACAAAGAAGTTTCTTGGCCAGTTACGTTGCGTCCGAGTATCCTGGAGTGTCACTAGTGCCAGTAAGCTCGCGTGAAGTGAAAAACATTCTAATTGAATATCGCTGCACCGCCCCTTTAAGAATATGTCCCGAAATGATGTTAATGCAATTAATGCAAAGGTGCAGGCGAGCAATTCAGTTATGTTGTGAAATATTTTAGCTTGTAAACGTATTCTTAAAATATGCAATACTTTCAGACAAGCTTCAACGAAATATATTTCTACTTGAACCACTTAAAATGTTTCTTTCAAGATGGTCCCTAAAATGTACTACTACGAAATGAACTATGTACACTGCGCGACAACGTTAGCACGAACACGATGTTGGCTATTTTTCGAATTTTACTTCGAAATGGTATTAGAAGGTACCACATTTTACCGCTTAGGTTAGTGGCCCAGATGAGCACTTTCAAACACACTAATAATATTGATGGCAGTCTTCTGACCTTTTTTTTTTTTTTTTTTAGACAAACAGCTAAAACCAACAATCACTTGTTCCCGCTAACGGTTTCGCGCTCTGTACAATAACAGGGAACGTTCGTAGACC